GAAATTTCAATTGTAAGTCATCAAGTTCTGGTCTAGGTGGTCACGGTGGTAAGTAAGTTCCTTCCTAAATAACAGGTCAGGTCGGGCGTCGACCACATTTTGTTCTGTTAAACAATCATTTATTAAATGTTTGAAAATGATGTAATTTTAAGTATTTATATTTCAATATGTTCCCTTACATGCATACTAAATTTTGAGTTCAGCACGTTCAAATCTTTTTAATAATTAAGGTGGTGACTTCGGTACTGTTCCTTTAATTTTTACCACTTTAATGAGTGTTTTTAGAATTTTTATGGATCATTTTATAATTAAAAAATTTATTATTTTTTTGGATGATTTATTATTTTTGTGAGTATTTTTGCCACTGTTGTAAGTATTTTTACTATATTTATAAGTATTTTTATCACGTTGTGATAACTATTTTTATCATAATTCCCTATATAAATTTACATGTTATGACTACATAGAATTAATAGACAAGGTAGGCACATGTTGACTGCTACTCATATAATAGAGACCTGGAGGACTTAAAATATGCTTTTTCTGTTTGGTATGAAATGGAATTTTTGTATACTATATCTCTATTTTTTATTCAATAAAAACATGTCACACGTACAATTTTTATTTTATTTTATTATTTTATTTAGTATATTTTTATTTAATTAATAGTTACACATTATTCAAATTAAAATTAATGGTCCAGATCAAAATCAACATGGTACCTCCCTATTATCGTAGTCTTATGGTAAACTAATAAGGTTTTGATTGCATAGTATAATATCTCAAAATTCTTTTTTTTTTTTTTTTTCAAGTATAAGATATTCGGATCTTTTAAAGCACCTGTCTACTCCTTTGGAGCATGTATGATCTAATTCCAAATCCTTTCTTTATTAACAATGATTAATTTTTTTGGCTAAGTTATGATAAAATCCAAAGTTACATGGCTTTAGGTTGTTATTGTTAGAGAAAATTATAGATGATCTGTGACTTTGACGACAAAATGTAGCAATTAGGGATTTCAGTGGACCGAAGTGGGGGTAGAGAGTGTAATTTTTATCTCCGTACCCATTTAAAAAAACTTCGTTCATCCCCATTAACGGGTATAGTTTTCATCTCTATTCCCGTCTGTGGGTAAATTTCTAATCTCCGTCTCCATCCCCGCTTCCCCCCGTACCTGCCTAAGCTCAAGTTCAAGTCCAAGCTCAAATCCAAGTAACATAATGTAAAATTTTAAATAAATCTAATATTTTAAATAACTCAACAACATTTTAAATAATCTAACACAACATAACATAGATTGTAAAATGTAAAAGTCAAAACAATATAGTATTCTGTTTAAAGTGTCATTGAACAACAAAAAGAGAAACGAAACTATTAGAGAGAAAGGAAGAAAAGGAAAATAAAATTGAACTAAAATTGAAGTTTCCTAGAAAAAATTTTGTTATTATAATTCATATTATAGTCATAAAATGTTAAAAGATGAAAACTTAAAATTTTGTTAATTCAATAATTCTCTCAATTTCTTAGTTCACTCTAATAGAGAAACTCATTAACATTTATTCACAATATTTCTACTCACGATGAAATGCAAAACTATCTTGCTCTCTATTATCTGTTTTTAGAGCATGATCAATCCAAATTTTTAACAGTTTCAATCAGTGAGCACAAATAAAAAAAAGAACAATCATGGAAAAAAGCTGATAAAATTACCACATAACAATGTCACTTGTTAGTTTAATTACTATATTTTTAGATTGATAATTACAATAAATATATTTAGTTAGAGCTTGAGAATATATATATATATATATATATATATATATATATATATAACAGGTAGTGGGGATTGAGAGGGGGTGGGGCGGGGGTTAAGAGTAAGTCTATCCCCTCCTTCATCTCCGTACGGGTCTCCATATACGTCCACTGTCCAATACATATAGTCTATTTCTGATTCAAATAAAACGAATTTAGACAAATACTCATTTTTTCTCGATTCACCGCCATCTTAATAGCAATAGGATAAGCATTAAGTAGTGTAGACCAAGAAGTAAGCACAAACTGCCAATGTGGTTGATTTTTCGGTGTTCCTCACTATAGGTTGCTGCCAATAGAAGCAAAAACTAGCAGTCTTTGAACTTTGAAAGGCGGCCTAACCGGGTATCTTTCCTAATTAATAAGGTTGATTTTTTTGCTGTTTAAAAAAGAATGAAAACAAAGGAGGGTGTCTAGAGATCATTTCGATAGATCTTCATTAATAAGATGATGAGACCATTAATTACACTCATTGCACTTCTCAAGAACGAATCTAGCAAGACTAGTATAGTGATTAACTACCGTGTTCCAGTGTAAATATCAAGACTTAAATCTATAATTTTAAGGTGAAAAGTTCGATCGATATCTTACTGGACCACCCCACCCCATGATGCCTAATTAATAAGTTGTAATAGAAGTAAAAACACAAGCAAGCAGTGGTCAACAGTCGATGCATTTAAGACCCTCTCTCCTGCATGAAATACTTCTAAAAATAATAATAGTACTTGTTTTCAATTGAAGAGATCAAATACTTCAAGCAAACCATCGAAAAGAATTTGGAGGGGATAAAAATGGCATGTTATATTTTTTTTCCTGAGCCAACGGGTGCTAACAATTAGCAAGCGTCTTTTAGACACAGGTATAATGTGAATTGCAGGAGCTCATAATCACCCATCAAAACATATTCACCAAGCAAGAAGGAGTATTCAAATTCGAGACCTCAAAGGAATAACTAATAACCCAAGAAATCTTTCCTTTCGAGCTTTTGATTCCGACGATAATTGCATATTGGGCCTTTTTGGGGGCTGAAAATCTCGAAAAAAAAAGAAGTCAGGCATATACTTATTGAACGATTTTTTTCATCAATTTTTTGGATAAAAATAATTTATATCAGGATGAAGGAAAATCTGAAAAATTGGATTTATTTAAGGGCTTCTAAAAAAAAATAATTTTTTCGAAAAACACTCAAAACAGTTTCAAGTGCTTTTTGTTAACTCTGATTTTAAAAAAAAAAACTAAATTTACAGGAAACTTAGTAATGATTTGATAATATGTTATTGGGAAAGCTAAATAATGAAAATCTCATTAGAATTTTGAGCAAGCACGAAAGCTTGTAAAGAATGTCAGAAAAGACCTAACATGATGAGGCCATTGTGGAGCCACCAACACTTGCTTAAATTAATCATTTTTTGGTCATCATAAGTTCAATTGTTAATTCAAATGATATGCTAAAAAAATAGCAAACAAAAACTTATACCCACCACATATCATATTGTACTGCCATTATTAAATACTTCAAAGTCCAAGCTTAAATGCATATTAAATTCTAAGAGTTAGGCTGTATGCTGATCAAATGGAACTGGGGGTNAGTTAGGCTGTATGCTGATCAAATGGAACTGGGGGTGGTAAATACTCAAAAAGACTCCTTCAACTTTGAATTCAGCCATTTTGACTAACTACTCGCCTTCCAATGTTGGGTTTCGAGTGATGGCCAGCTCTAGCCACAGATCAAATGATACATTGGGTTTTATTTGGGTTGAGTTTGTACCCGAACTTTATTCAGGTTTGAAATTATGCCCAAACTCAATCTTCACTTAACTCTGGATATCATCAGAGACGAGTTTTTATTGGNGAGTTTGTACCCGAACTTTATTCAGGTTTGAAATTATACCCAAACTCAATCTTCACTTAACTCTGGATATCATCAGAGACGAGTTTTTATTGGTCTAAACAAGTGGACCTCAATTAAAAAAGATAGACTCAAGTGGTAATAAGAATGAATTGTAAATTTAGATATTTTGAATTTAAATTTTGATAATATTTTAGGGTCAGGTCATGAAAGATTTATTTCTTATGCTTATTCTAACTTTAGTGTGAATAAACTGTCTTTAACTAAATCGGAGNGTCAGGTCATGAAAGATTTATTTCTTATGCTTATTCTAACTTTAGTGTGAATAAACTGTCTTTAACTAAATCGGAGAGAAAATTAATTGAAATGTACGTAAATTAACTCAAATACCTGTTAAACAAAAAAAACAACAACAATCGGGCCTCATTTTTATCCGACCCGATGAACATGTTGCTTTCGGTCTTTCGTGATCACTGACAAGTCAGAAGTAGACAAATTTTCATGCCACAGACGGGGATGGTTGGACGTAATTTGAGGTTTGAATCGAAAATACGAAATGAGCTTTTTTTATTTATAATTTTCATTTTAAAAGAATATAATTTATTATGTCAAAGAATGACAAAAGAAAGATGTGTTAATGTTATCGAAAAAATATTTTAATATTTTTTNGGGGATGGTTGGACGTAATTTGAGGTTTGAATCGAAAATACGAAATGAGCTTTTTTTTATTTATAATTTTCATTTTAAAAGAATATAATTTATTATGTCAAAGAATGACAAAAGAAGGACGTGTTAATGTTATCGAAAAAATATTTTAATAATTTTTTTGTTTTTTTATTGGAGAGAGAGAATTTAATTTCAATTTCTTCTTTTTTTTATGTTTTTTACTTATTTTTATTGAAAGAACGTGAATAAAAATAAATATGAGTTCATTTTGNTCTTTTTTTTTTTTTTTATGTTTTTTACTTATTTTTATTGAAAGTACGTGAATAAAAGTAAATATGAGTTCATTTTGGAGTATTTTTTATTTTTTCAACTTATGATTTTTAAGTTTTGAATTAGATCATAATTTTTTAGGGCTTAAAATTTAATAAATTTAAATTATTTTATAAATTATTAATATCCCTAAAATTGTGAGATTCTCTAAAGATTTAGGACCTAAAATCCAAACTCTAATTTTAATATCGTTGAGCTGGCGCTGGGTACGGATCTTATCACATCCATGAAATAGTACTAAATGAAGACTGCACCACAAAATTTATATCCAAATTGACCGAAACATAATCCACCCATCATAGCTCCATTAGTCATACAAATTGAAAATCACGCACATTGACCACTTCCACCAACACAACCTACGGTAACATCAAACACAATACAAAGTCAAAGCTAATGCCATGTTTTTCTACATCTTATTTTTCCCTCCAATTGAATATCGCAGTCCTCTCATAATAGTAAAGTTGTTTTTTTGGAATCCGAGTGATACAAATTCGAGTCACGGAGAGATTATATATGCTAGCTAGCTACCATTTTTGACACACAGGCTTCTAGAAAATAAAAGACAACTCAGTGAGCTAATCTTGGACTTGCTTCAATAATTTTTTCTTGGAAATAAAAGCCATTGGGAAGATCATAATGAGACCTAGATGTCTCCATAAAAAACCCACCTTCTGCACCACCTCCATCACCAGACCATGGCGCATAACTACTCTTTTCAAGAGAAAATAAAGGCGAAACAGTAATATTGAAGTTACCATATGCTTCTGTGCCACTTTCTTGTCCTTCCATGAGCCTAGGAAGAGGGAATTGAATTGGGTTCGGAACCGGAAAATGTGGAACAAAGTTTTGTTGATAATTCATGTCTGCTGTATATGGCATTGAACTCAAAATCGAATCAGAACCAGCACAGTTTCCATAAGAAGAGGTGGCGGTGGCGGTGGTGGTGGTGGTGGTAGTGGTGTTGAGGCTAGTCTTTGCTGCCAACAGCTTCTTTTTCAACTTGGTGTTCCAATAGTTTTTCACGTCGTTGTCTGTTCTTCCAGGCATATGTGAAGCTATGACAGACCACCTACACCAATAAAATTATGAGTTTAAGTAGGGTAAATATGTAGTGTCTAGTTTGGTATTATACCAAAAGTTACTATATTATAAGTATGATGCTGCCAGCCAACCTTGTAAGATTACGACGCAATTTGAATCAACTCACAACATAAAAAAACAGTAAGTTATAATCATCAAAATGATTTAGAATTGATACAAAAAAAAATAAGTCAGGGTGACCTATTGTTTTCCATTTGTATATTAATAATTCATATAATTAAAGCATACAAAAAGGGAAAAAAAAAAAAAAAAGGTTAATCAAATATGTTGAAGAAAAGGTCATTTAAACTAGCCTGCTTCCTATGCGAGTGTAGAGGGTTAGTATAAGGTTATCTTCTTCTTCAGTAAAACCTCCATGTTTGATGTCTGGTCGCAGATAATTGAGCCATCTCAGGCGGCAACTCTTGCCACAACGCTTTAGCCCTGAAACACAAGATTATATACCAATCAATATGTATGTTAACCTAAAAATCAGGATCGCTGGAACATGAAACTGCTCTTACGCGTGTGTAAGAGAGAGAGAGAGAGAGAGAGAGAGAGAGACCTGCTTTGTGTGGTAAAGCAATCCAATTGCAACCAGTGCCATATCTCTCAACATAGTTCTTGAGAATGGTGTCTTCTTCAGGAGACCATGACCCTCTCTTAACCTTGGCTTTGTCACAACAAGGTGCTCTTCCCATGGAAGAAAAATGCCAAAACAAAGCGTAAAGGCAAGACTTGAGACACTGAGGTCTTACAATTTTTTGTCAAGGAGAAGCAAATCAATGGGCGGTGGGCTTTGGCTATGGTTTTAAAGATGGCGAGAGAGAGAGAGAGACTAAGTCCAACCCTTCAACTTAAAGTTTCTTTACTGTTCAAGGTTTGTGTTTGTTTTTTGGGTTAGTATCTCAAGGTTTGTGTTGCTCTCATGTTAAATAAGAGAAAGTATCTAGTCAATGAAGAAAATATTCATTACAACGTTGTATTCAATATTTACTTGTGGGTTCAAAAAAACAAAAAAAAAAAAAGGCTTTGCTTTGATCAAGCAGGAGCAGGATGCGTTCACATACTGTGGGCCCTTTTCTCCACGTAGAACGGTCAGCCACTTAAAAGAACACATTTGCATAATTTTCTTAATTTTTTTATAGTAGCATAATTTTCTTAATTCATTGAGGTGATTTGATTGACAAATGTTGAATCCTTTAAAAATTAAAATTGTAAATTTTATTTACGTCCTCTAAAATATAACTTAATTACAGAGACACTGTCTATCGTATTTGAAACATTACTAACACTTCTATCAGTTTTTGTCAATAACGGAATGGACAAGAATTATACTTTTACTCAATTATCTTTAATAGAATTGAATATTCACTCATTTATCCAATCGACGATGCTATTCCAAACTATCTTGAGTTATTGACGTCTCAGATTATCTCAAAATTTTTGATCCAACGTACCAAATTGACACCTGAAAAAATTAAGCCCGCCTAAACATTTTAATTTTCAAATTCCTTAAATCATTCCACTTAATTTGTCCTAATATTTTGTCTCTAACCAAAAACAAAACTCTTCTCTCTCCCTATCTCTATTCTCTGTCCAACTGTGCCTCACTCTTTATATTCTCCTTATCTCTCCCCTTAACTCTCTTCTGTCCCAAGCCACGCCAAAGATAATACCAACGAATTTGGCGACGCTGCTCTCTCTCTCTCTTTGACTGTTGTATCTTTGTTGTTCATCATGCGCGCACAGCAACCAGGAACCTCACAGCTCTCTATTTCTCACCCTCTCCGTCTATCTTTCTGTTTCTCTCGCTACGTTGATTGCTTAACACATACAAGACATACACATACCACGCACACAAGTTGTTCGACAAAATACGCCTAACTTTATTCCTAGCTATATGCACAAACTCATCTCACCCCACAACACAGAGCACACATAACACATAAACACACAACATATCATACACACACAAACATGCACAATACACAACACACATATGCACACATCATACACAATTATAACAAAAAATCATGCTTAAATTCTGTCTCTCGGTTCCTATCTCTCTCTCAATCTACGCAATAATCTATTCGATCAAATACCCCAAATTCATGCTCACAAATTTTGCCGATGAATGAACATTAGAAAAAGTGATGTCTCCTTCATAGAAGTTCACAGGGTCTATGGATGTAATACTGTTGGTTTGGAATATAAAATGGAATTGTATTGCTAGTTTACTCTTGCTGCTAAAAATTTGTTTATTATATTTGGTCATCTCTTAGCTTACCTCTGCTTTCTTCTATTATAACCATCCAACAACTATGATAGCTTCTAAATTGGCAGCATGGTGCAAGATATCCAACAACTATGATAGCTTCTAAGTTGGCAGCATGGTGCAAGATAGACTTGTCTATGACTTGGTTGAATTATATGTTCTATTAGTTTCCATTTCATAGAGTACAGGATAGAGCTGTCCTTATAGCCATAAAGGTTGCTATGTATTTTTATCTTGCAAACTGATGTTGCTGTATTGTCGTCTTCACTTGGAAATAATATAATTTTACCTCTTTGCATTGCTTTGCTTATAATTAATATCCATTTCATAGCAGGGAAAAAACTAAATTGATTTATAGCACTTAAGGAATCATGTTTGCTCAAAGGTAAGCCCATTAGTTCCATTTATTCAATTAAAAACATATGGCTTACTCATTAGAAATTGTGATTTTTATGCTATTGTGATTTTCTACTGTATACTCTACCATTGATTTTTCTTTTGATTGATATGAATTTACTGTTTTCCATTTTGTGGGTATAATGAGTTGAAATTATATCCCTTTTTGATGGGTTTTTTTCACTTGCTCTTATCGATTAGATCAGGGTTGTTTTTTTAACATGGACAAACATGTCTTTTTCTCCCTCAAGCTCTTTCTTTTTAAAACTTTTCACATTAGCTTTGGATTTTGTAACGACAAGAAATTTTGTAAATGACTATTTGTCCAATGTAGTCTACATTTCAAATTTATCTTAGATTAGAAGAGTTTACATTTAAGGAAAAAAATTGAATTTTACTTGGGATAAGAAAATATCATAACACTAATGATTTGTAGAACTTAGTGAAAAGTGAGCTTTGTGAATTTTTTGTAGATGTCGGAGTAGATTGTTGAAAATGGGTCATTGAGTGGAAAGAAGAGTTTGTGCAATTTTCAAGGGTCCTATTTTCAAAGAAAAATTTTCCAAATTTTTTTACATAAATAGTGGACCCAAATTGGTCTCAAATGTGTAATTAAAGAAAGGAAAGAAAAATAAATTGTCACATAAATTGTTTATACTATACGACCCGTGCTTCATTTTTGTGTGTTATATAGTACCTTCAAATACAAGTTGTTCCTAGATACAGATAGATAATGAATAGAATTCTCTTTAGATTGGGGTGACCTATAACATGTTTGTCGCATGTGATTTTTTTCTTTCTCAAAGTAAATTAAGTTTTGACATTTTTTAGGATTAAGGGTTTTTCAAGAGATTATAACAAAAATAGTTGAGCTCAGGACCAGACAATTTGTTTCAACTTTGGGAGACAATAGCATTTTGATCTTCACTCATTGTAGTTTCTTTGCCTTTGAGATCCAATTCCATTTGACTTTCGTAGGCATCTACCTCATGTTTTTATTTATTCTTAAACTTGAACTTTGGCAGTCTGCATTTGACAACTCTAGGATAAAGCAAGATGGCTATATGAACTAACAAATTTAAGTGATCGACGTTATGAGAATGAAGAGAGACCAATGGTGGCAGAATTAATTGGTTAGAATTGTGAAGTAATTTGGCATACTATGTTTTTTGAGATTATCATTTTCTTTATTTCTCGACTTGTTGTACTAAGAGAGAGACTTAAGATTATAAAATATGATTTTCTTAATTCTTTTTCATATATTGACTAAGATGATTTTGACCAATATTTTACTTTTTATGGATGTGAATTGGATAAAAAGTAATTTCTTGCGCCTAACAGACATGAATTATGTATTTCATATAACATATAGGTTGTGTTTAATTGTGTTATAAGTGAGTGGTGTTAGTGTTAGGTCACTCGATACAATTAACTAAATTGGTTGTGTTACGGATGATGGGTTTTTCACATGAATTTGAAAAAATACGAAAATAATATGATACAACACAATTTGATTGTCGCTTAATGAGGGGTTCTCATTTTTGTAATTATTCATTTTTTTTTTGTGTTATACATTGCCTTAATGTACAAATAATTATTTGTGATTTTTTTGTTTAGTACATAGTACCTTCGGGTACGGACAATTTTTAATATATAATAAAGTAGAACGATTTTGAATTTTGGAGACAAAGAGCGGTACATATCGTTTTGTAACTAAAATAGACATCATCCAACGGATGACGTTATCCCAAGTTATCTCAATGTATTAACGTCTCAGATCGTTTCAATCCAACGTACTACGTTAACTCTTGAACAAATTTTCCGGCTCAACATTTTTAGTTTCCAAAATTAACATCCCTAAATTAATTCTCCAAATAATTATTTCCCCCAATTCCAGCCATAATATCCTGCCCCTTTCAATTGCTCAATGCATCAAACAAATTTCTGAATAATGGACTTATCCTTTTCGACTGTCTCCACCTCCATACTCTATAAAGCCAATGCTCTTTCTCTCATCCCTCCTCTCTTCGCACCAGGTATGTCTTCCTCTCCACCTCTCTCTGCTCCTATCACACACGTACATGCACTCGAACACTCACGCATACGCACACAAACACGCACTCGATTCCTATTACACCCTCATTTACCTCTTTCTACCCCTATTAAACAAACACATCAGCCTCTCTATCTCTTTATCTCTTTCTGCTCTATTACATACACACATCGACATACACGTTTCTATCTCTCCAACGCTTTCTCTATTTCTGATTTTCGTTGTTGATTACACCTCTGCCCAACCACCTTCAGCGACATCCAACAACTGCTCAGGACATTGTGGAAGGCACACCGTTAGACATCCATTGGCGATTGGAAGGGCCAAACGTTTTATTGCTTTGCTTCGTTGTCTTACACCGTTGCTTCTCCAGTCGCTTGTCGTCATCGGTATATGCNGAGGACATGAGATGTTGCATTTAAGGTTTTTTGGAACACAATGTAATTGTGGGAAGAATGTAGCAATAAGGATAGTGGAAACCGAGAAGCCATCAAAAGGGAGATTGTATTTCAATTGTGAGAAAGGGGGTGCAAGTTATTTGCTTGGTGTTATCCCCAGTTAACTATAATGCCTCCATGTGCTGAACAAGGTTATGGACTACGATGAATTTCTAGCTCAGAAAGGGGTCATAACGCCTAGGACACACATGCACTTTTGAAGGCCGTCATCGTTGCAGTGTTAGTTGTGTTTGTAATGCTTGTAATGCAACTATTTGATATGGTCATGTCTATAAGCAAGAACTAGAAATTGCAGTGATGTAGTCCCATATGTAATGTTAGGTTGTGTTTTACCTATTATGTAGGTGGTGTGCATGTCTTATGTATGCTTTTGGAATTGTGCTAAATATGTAATGAGCTGAAATCAAGATTATGAAATATGTACTGGCTTTTGGAATTATGCTAACTATGTAGTGGCTTCAATACATTGTAATAGTATCAATACAATAGTTGTTTGTGTACATAGTACACTAATCA